GAACATTTTTGTTTATGATTCAAATGGTAATTAGAAATATTATGATTAACACATGGCTGTTGATTTGTTAGCTTTAATTCTGCTTGACTAAATTCTTTCATATCACCCCAAAATGAACACTTGTCTTATTCATCTGCATTTTTATTTATTTATTTATTTTGCTCCTGCAAGAAAATAGGTATAGGTAAGTCATTAATTTGTGATTTTGAGTCCCTTCAATATGACACTCAATATGACACAGCTCAAAAAAAAAATCTGCTCAAACCTGGGCTTCTACTTTACTTTTTTACTATTACTATTTCACTATTTTACATTCAAAAGGCTGTTCTGCAGATGAAGTATTGCACTCTTCAACTACAGGAGTCTATAGAAACAATGGACTCACAGGCATTCTCGGGCCCAGGTGGTTTTGATTTGGGAGGCGCTTATGTGCCTTTAGGTCATTTATTATTTCAAGGGAAGTGAAATTAACCATGAAGACAATGTTGCATTTTAAGACTGCTGGACACCCAAAGATTGACCACTGGTCCTGCCAAGTTAAGGACAGACATTTCAGCATGTGAGTGATACATTTGAACAGGCAATGTATTTACAGAGTGCTAACCCCTTGATTTTATTTCTGCATTTTGTTAAACCTCTAAATTTAGCATGTTGAAGAAACAATAAGATAAACACAAAGGAATCACCCACTATAAATTCATTCTGTGCATAATATTCCTCGGGTAGCCACTAGATGACTTGTCTTAGTTATGTCAGCATGAGCTTCTCAATTCTTCAACACAAATTCACCCCATGTCAAATTAGAAAGTGTTGGCTTGCAGCAATGTTCAGGTCATACCTAAAAATATTCAATTGGATTAATGTCTCAGCTCAGTCAGAACCATTCCAGAACTATACTTTTTTGTGATTTATCGTCGTACTGGAACAGGAATCTTTAATCAAATCCAGAATATGTTGCTGCCACCATCAAGTCTGATTTTTACCAGGTTGTTTTTGGTAAAATCTATTGATCAGACCGTTTTCAGTTTGCAGTTTTCTTAGCAAACTTTTTTTCCCTTCAGGATTTTATGGTTGCATCCTTTCTTGTAACGGTTACCTAGATTTTACCAAGTAAGACATGGTCCTGGATCAACATATTTTGTTGATCCTGGATCAACATTCCTGTCCTAAAATGAAGTCCTTAACCAATGCCTACCCCTAAATCTAACCCTACCCATGACTTCTTCCTAAAATCAGAGGGTAATGATAGGTGAATAACATAGGTGTTTAAGTACTTCACTCTGGTTCTAAGCCTAAAGTTGACATAAACTGTAAAATTGTCCCTCAAATCTGATTGGTTGATTTATTGTAAAGTTGATCCAGGATCAACAAAGATGTTGATCCAGGATTGGAACATGTGGTACTTGGTGAAATCACGTTCACCTTCTAGTAACTTCTACGCATGATTAAAGGTTTGCTGTTCTACACACACTTTAACAAAGATGCCCAAATTTTGAAGTGCTAAAAAAGATATATGGTCATCTTTGCCCATTCTGTCACTTGATATTTAAAAAAAAAAAAACTTCATCACCAAGTTTTTTGTTTGTTTATTTATTCCATTAATGATTGTAAATAATGTTCAGTGTCTTTGTAACAACATGCCGTGCACCCAAAGTGCCCCATTTTAGATTTTTGAAAATGACCTTTCATGTAGTGTGTAACATAGGTCTAAGTGAATGAAAAGATCCTGCAAAGTTTTAAATCTGAAAGTGGACCGTATATAAAGTTATTGTCTTTCAAAAGTGAGTCGACTCTGAGTCAATTAAATGTTTTAAATGAAATGAACTGTTTGTCAATGAACTGTTTTATAAATGAGTCATAAGCCGTTCCGTTGTGATGTCAAGACGAAACATTAGCAAATTGCCCGCCCACGTATTGCGCGTACAGCAGCACTGGCACAATGGTGGGGCATTCGAGGGCCGTGCCCCCCTACCACAGTTGCTAATATAATAGTTTTGGCAGAAGGCTACGTGAAGTTTCATATCTTTAAGCGCTGAATTTGTATATTTGACTGACTGAATTGTTTCTTGATGTTATTTAAGCTTTACTGTATATATTTTTGTACCTTCTACTTATACTTTTATAATGTACTAATATACTTTTATCCATTATTGATAAAACTGAAATTCAACAAAAAGAGATAGTTTTCTTTTTTTACAAGATCTGTAATGTTGTTTATTGCAACATTTGTTGCGATATGCAATACATTACATATTTCCTGGAATATGTTTATTAAATTTAAACGAAAAGAGGCAGCTGGGTTGTGTTTTAGTTGTTATTAATATAACGTTTATGCATGCAGTGAATATAGGCAGCGTTGCCTGAACCACATGTGCTTTAGAATGTTTAAAATGTATTGAAATGAAATCGAAAAGAAGCAAAATGGTGTTTTATAACATATTTCGTTTTATTGTTGCCTGAAATGAACATACAGAGATAACCGGAGTCGCAGAGCCAGAGCGAACTGAGTGCCGCGTTCAAGAACGCGCTGTTCCATTAGCAGAATAGACTCGCTTCCTCGAGATCTTTCTCTTGAGTCGCACTTTGCGTCGGTCGGCTACTTGGTATTGAGAAACGCCTAATGCCAGCGCTTGTTTCTAGTGACAAACATGCGGAGAAGCAAGAACAATATATGCTGTCTGTCATCCGTTGTTGTTTACTATGTCGCTTTCTTCGCGCGAAAATGACGTCGATCGCTTCTTTCCAGCAAACACCACGCCTATCAAGTAAGGGTACTGTTGGCGGTGGAAACGCAAGCCGGATCCTGGTGTACCCGACCCGACCCGTACTGTACCGTACCGTACCGTACCCCTCAGTGGAAACGAGGCATTACTCTCACATGATCCTGAGACCCCGGCCTGGATATGTGCCCAAGGTTCCTACCACTCCCTTCCGGGACCAGGTGATGAACCTGGCTCTTCCCGGAGTGTGGCATCCTCTTGGGCTCTAGTGCATGGTGCCTCACTAATAGACATCTGCAGAGCTGCAAGCTGGGCGACACCCAACACATTCCCCAGATTCTACAATCTCCAAGTGGAGCCAGTGTCCTCCTGTGTACTCGCTTCAACCAGCCGGTACTAGGACCCGCTCAGGTGTCTTCGCTTGTTCTCCATTCCACTCCACGGACTGGATACGTGCGATATTCTCCTCAGGTGAGCCTCACAAGCCCTGAGTTCCTCCAGCACTGCTGACGTCGACGCCAGTATCTATGTGCCTCCAATGTGCATGGTCCCTCCTCTGAGCGACCCCCCAGTTGTGTGTTTCCACCGTAAGGCTCAATTCCAATTCACCCTAAATATTCCCCTACGAAATGGAACAACCATTCATGAACCCGATATGTCATCAGTCTTCGGAGTTTGTACAGCATTTCTCCATGACAACGACTGACAATCAGCGCAGCTGCTCTTAACTTTGAAGAAACATGATGATTATAACATTCCTTCCTCGAAATGTATGTTTTTTCTGATTCGGAAAGGTAATTTACTATATAATTTCTTAATTTAAACGACTATAGTATTATTATAAGAGTAAATAAAGTGCATGGTGGTGTCATCTGGCGCTAAATTGTTTGCGAAGCCATCTCGCCGGTGATTTGCGATGCATTCTGTGAACTTTCTTGTAGCCCTCCGTTTGGAGTGTGCCTCTGAAAAATCTCTGTTTCGAGGGCTATGTAGCCCTACCCCTTCACCCCACCCCTCAATCTCAAAAAGAATTGGGAGCACCCCTAGATGTGAACGCGCAAAAACAGAGGGGTAGGGCCAAGGGGTAGGGGCAAGAGGTGAATTAGGATTGATCCTAAGCCTCTCTGAGCCTGTGTCTTTCCCTTGCCAAGCCACCTTTCCACCCCGGGGGTTGAAATATTCCACCTGCGGCTGGACACCCAAGTGTTTTCCATATGCTTCCTTCGGGTCATACGTGTATTCTCTAAGCCCCCCTTTGGGTTGGCATTAATTGCATACTTCTCTGTCTTGAGATATGCTCCCCAGTGTACCTTGGTATTCCTATGCCAAGTAGGAGTCCTTCGTCCATGCTAGTCTCATGACAGGGATCTCAGATTTATGCAGGGCACTGGAAGACAGCTGTGAAGGTGGCGTGATTAGACTGGTACCCCCATTCGTCGTCATCCGACGGAACTAGGAGTGACAATGAAAGGGAACGTCTCGGTTACGTATATAACCCTTGTTCCGTCTTCCTGCCACTTCCACTGTACCACTGGAACAGTCGAGTTCAGTCTTGGCTCCTCAGCAAAGAAACATATCTGCATGTTGCCGGTGTTCTCCTTTTACACCCATGAGGTGGGGTGGAGTTGCGCCATGCAAATTCAACAGACCCATGGCATTTCTTTGCCATTGGCTAGTTTTGTAATACTCAAAGTCGATAGGCTTTCTAAGCGAAACCCCATTCGTAGTCATCCGACGAAACGTCTCCGTTCCATTCTCAGGGAACGAGGGTTACATACGTAACCGAGGCGGTCTATTAAATATAAAGGAAGGCTTTATAAATCCTACATGAAAAATCATTTTAGCTTAAATAAAGAGAAATATATTTCTTACAAAAATAAATTAACGCAGATCATAAGAAAAAGCAAAAGAAGTCATTACACGAAACTGGTAAAAGTTTCGCAGGGGGACTGCAGGAGGTCATGGAATGTGTTAAATGAAGTTCTCAACAGGAAACATGAATCGACTGCTCTGACATACATTGGGGATGCCAAGCACAGAGTTTTAATAATCATTTCACCTCAGTAGGTATAAATCTGTCTAAAAAAGATAAGCCAACCCCAGGGTGTCACCTTCAACCATTTTCTTTCTGGTAGCTACATTCATTCATTTTTCATGATACCAACAGACAGTACTAAACTCCTCAAGATAATTTTAGACCTGAGGACGAGCTTATGCTTTAACTAATCTGGTGCATCAAAAGCAGCACTTGCCTTTTCACAAAATAAATAACAGATGATGTTTGAGGCACTTTCAAGACCATAGTTTATTTCATTGTAATAAAGTATATACATTGGGGTCCCTTTATAATGAGTCCTAAAGCTACACACATGATCTTAATTGTCTTTTACTCTGAGACACTTTTTAGACAAGTGAAAATCCCGACTCTTCCAAACAATCGGTGGATTTCTCAGACCATCGCTACATACAATTAACTATTGAAAAGCAAGTATTTTGCATCATGAAGAAAACAAAGAACAAAACAAAAGCATGTTGATTTAATTATTGCTATAAAACTAAATAAAAATCAGCATAATGACAAAAAAACAACAACATTAAAATATTGTGATTGAATGAAGGCTTTCTCAAAAGATTTTCATAGCGTAAAAACAAAATTAAGACGTGCTTGTGTTAGCTTTTACATGCCAGTCAAAATAAATGAACATGTTTGATACAGAGTTACGGTAAGCAGCATGATTACATTAGAAACTATATACAGAGTTAACTAGATTGTGACAGAATGCATTGTCAATCAGCAAATGATAAAATACTATCAAAAATATACTGACTCGAGAAAATGGTGGAATCTGCTCTTACATATAAAAGTCACATTATAAAGTCTATATATATGTATGTATATATATATTTTATTCCTATGTTTAGAAGTGTGATTACATGAATGAAACCTTTTGACATTCAACCTCTACATAAATCAATAGAAAAATATTTGAAAGAAAATTAAGCTGTATGCCATTCAGATGTGTTTTTATTTGCAGGGAGAACACAGATTACTTTAAAAAAAAAGCTCTTGTGGTCCTCATATTAGTTTCTGGTAGGCATATACAAAAGGTATGAAGACTACTGAGCAACCGAGGAACAAACGCTTTCTGAATCTACCTCCAATTAATGTCACGTCACAAAGAGCAACAGTACATCCTGCATCTTGAGAGCTATGCATCCTGTAACCAATCTCAGGCACATAAAAGTATTTGAAATTAATAAGAAGCACAAGAAAGCTAATGAGTCACAACAATAAATGTGTGAAGAGGTAGAGTATTGAAGCATTGAAGGTTGAAGCATTCATGGGGTGTTTATGGACCATACGGAAGGAATCGCAATGGTTTAGCTGTCATAAAAGATTGCTGATAAACCACCCAGTAAATATACTTGACAGGTCCTCTAACAACCTGAACTTCGTTTCTCCTCTCTAAAAACATTTTTTTCTTCTTTTTTTCGTTTCAGTAGTGTGAAGCTGCTTTGTGGCACACTTGCCACAAACCATTAAAATGTTATCACATCAGGATTTAGTCCTTGATTACCTTTTTGGTTTCTTTTCAGGCCCCATTATTAGTATGAAAACAAATTTTGACAACAAATTAAAATTAAAAATATGATACACAGCAGTGTACTTTATTTTCTTAATGATCTGTTGTGCCTTACCCTACACAGATACTGCTTTGGCGTACACAGCTTAAATCACAATGAATCAGTTCCAATGAAATGTATGAAACTGATGACAAAACATTGTAAGAAGAACTGTTAGATACCCAACACAGATATCCAGGCAAGAAAACAATGAAAAACAGGCCGTTTTGTGCAGCAATGCAAAATGTAAATGTTCCAACAGTCTATGGTGAGAAAGTACCCAATTGCATTCAAATGAACAAACAATTAAAGGAGGACAAAATACACCGGTCAAACAAAAAAGAAACCCAAGGACGGATCTTGCAGAAAGAGTAGGGAGGAAGGGAGCTATCTACAAGGAGAAAAAACAAGACTCCATTTTGATGCACCAGGTCAACCACTTCTCAAACCTGATTTAACCAGTCCAACCGTTTTATTTTCCATTGCTTCATTTGGTGAAGGCAGCCACCACAGCCCACAGCAGCTCATTGGTGTTGTTCTTCATGCTCTCTCCCTCAGGCTCCAGGTCTAGCAGCTGCCGTACTCTCTTCATGGCCAGATCGTACTGGTCATCCAGAAGCGGGGCAAACGCATTCTCTAGTACATCAGAGGAATGGGCTAGGAATATAAGGGCCAGAATGCGCTTGTCCATTCGATGAGGGTCGTTCACCCACTTGTCCAGCACGGCCTCCTGCACCTTCTTAATAAGGCGCTGCTTAATATTATTATTGGTAAGGGGGTGTGTAGTCATGTCGAACAAAAGGAAGTTTTGTTTCTCCGTTGTCAGGACGCCCTTCTCTACGAGATTCTTGGCCAGGCGCTCTCGGACGTTACGCAACTGATAGTGAAGCTTCAGCGGGTTCCATGTCTCGCCTGCAAAAGACAAGCACTTTCAGCACCAGACATCAACTAACATTCACTTTATTTGACAAGGACAGAGATCGAACCAATCTATCGGATTCAATCTACTGAAATATTGACAATTTGTGACCGGAGTAAAATAGTAAAGTTTTCTTTTTCAGAATTGAGATGGATGTTTTTTTTTATTTTTATTATTGCTATGGCTACAGCTTACAATACCAAAAGGTAAACGGAAATAAAAAAACTGACAGAAAATGCACCGTGGCAGCCGTTAAAAAAGTCTGGCGTATGAGGTACACCTCCCATGAGGCCTGTATATTTCAGCCATTTCACTGTGAAGGACAGAGATGGAACAAATCAGGCCTGTTTGCACCTTGTGCAGTTGCTGCCAATATGTATTACATTTATTATGGGAATTAGGAGTTTTTAGGAATGTATTGAACCAGAAATGTAAATAAAGACTTCATCACTCATTTGACAACAGCAGCACAAAAAAAAAATACATATATATTTTTCTATTATGTTTAATGGCACAGCTGTTAGATCCAAGTCTATAGTTAACATTTATTTATTATTATAAATGAAATGTTGCACCATAATTCTAATTCTAGTCAATATCAGTAAGCTGTTATTTATTTTATTAGGGCCAATAACCAATACGGGTTAATATAACAATTCTACATTATACCTAATTATATAAAATAAACCACTAAGAAAAAAAGTATTTGCAAAAGTAAATGCAAGTGTATTTAGGCATAAAAAAGGATATTCATTTTAGAGAATGATTGAATTTAACAGCGTGTTAGATTTTGGTGTATTTGGCCGAGCAGTGGTTTGGGTGACTCGCCGTCACCGATATGCTGCATTACTCCAATACATAAAATAAGTAAGCTTGAGCAGTTTTTGTGGGGAGAACAATTTATTGAAGGTTTGTAGTGTAGCAGTTCTTCAGCAGCGATGTTAGCATATCGCCCTTCAACAATCTTAACCCAAAGTTGTGTCTGTGAGACACAACTGTTTACATGATGGGCTACAAACAATAGAAAACTGTTAGGGCCTCTCCCACAGGAGATAGATCTACCCTGAAATCTACTGTGCAATGTTGTTTCTTTGTCATTCACACCAATCAGTTTCTGTGGGCCATACACCTTTACAGACACAGATAGATATGATTCCATCTAAAGCATAGTTGATTAAATCTAAGGCAGAGTCACAATGTAAATGAATCTGATGACTGAAAATACAATCCATCAAGTGTCATTAAATTTATTAGTGCTTTTATTGATTAGCTTAACTTTAATTGAGCATTAGATGGCAGCAAAGGTAATCTAAATGTAAAAACAGAAGATATTTTGAAGAATTTTGGTAACCAGACAGTTGATGGTAGCCATAGAATTGAAAAGGAAAAAAAAAGAAAGGAAAAAACTTTGAAATGTTGGGAACAACTTGAGGGTAGGTAAATGACAGAATTTTAAATCTCTAATATCGACCAATGCCTATATAAAAAACTACTACCACTAAAGAAACAAAGGAAAAAAAAAACTTATATATTGTGCATCCCTATTTTAGTTTTCGGGTAAACACTTTTTCAGGAGTATAATCCCATTTATTGATAGCTGCTCCAACAGGCTCATTACATTATTAATAGTTTTAATATGTTTTTGTCTAGATTTGCGTCTAGATTTGGACTTTTCCAAGTTTCAGACAGGAATTTTGAAGACATTGGTCAGCTCCTGTGCTGAAAGCAGACAGCACAGGATCAAAGCAGGCTGTGCTCAAGCATTTGCTAGTCATCAGCCTGCAGTAATTTATAGCTCTGATCTAATTCTGAGCACATTTTTATACACTCTCTAAACGAGAACGTCAGCTCCTTCTCTCAGACGCTTTGATCTCACCCTTTGACCCTTCGGCTCTCCATACCGAGACATTTCCAACTGAGCTCATAGCCACAGTAGGTACCAGAAATCTCTCTCGATCACTGGACCAAAGCAAGTCTGGATCCAGATGTTTTATGCGCACCAGGCAAGCACAGTATATGTAGCAGGTAGCAATGGTTGAAATTGTTCAATTTAATACAATTACACTATTCAAAAGATTTGTAAAACTTTTATTCAGAAAGCATGCATTCAATTATTCTAAGGTGACAGAAAATACTTTTATCATGTTACAAAAGGCATCTTTTGTAAATAAATGCTGTTCTTTTGAACTTTCTATTCATCAACATAATAGAATAAGAAGATAATAATTAGAAATGTTTCTTGATCAGTATATTAGAATGATTTCTGAAGGATCATGGGACACTGACGACTAATAATGGCTGCTGAAAATTCAGCTTTGCCATCACAGGAATAAACTGTATTTTTAGAATATATTTAAATAGCAATTAGTTATTTTAAATTGTAATGGTGGTTCACAATATAACCGTTTTTACTGTATTTTGATCAAACAATTGCAGCCATAGTAAGCTTTAGACTTCTTTCAAAAACATTTTACAAACCCTACAACCCTGAAATATGATGTGATCAATAATAATCAAATAAGAGTTCAAGTTTTTAGAGTGTAAGCATTTACATAGTAATATTTATGCTGTTCTCTAAAGCCAAGGTTTGGTATTACTGAAGTAATTAGGGGAAAAAAAATTCAGATCTCAAATGATCTGTGGTTACTCACCACTGAGCAACTCTACCCAGCTCTGCACGGTTTCGGGCGGTTGAGTGTCTTTTATGTGTTTTAGAGCCTCGTCCAACAGCACGTCCCCAGTTGGAGCGTCAGACTTGCATATAATCTAAGAAAAAGGAGAAGAGAAATGTCACCTTATCCATTAAAACATTATACTGCCATCAAGGCAGAGAAATCATGGGGGTGAAATCATGCGAAGGAGATGAACTACTTCAACTGAAGACCAAAGAGTTTTAATTCAAGAATTACATCTAATGCATTTTCCAGGGATACATCTTCCAACAGCCAACACCAACCGCAAAAAGTGGCCTCCTGACACACAATTAATATCAAACTGCTCCCTCTTGTGGTAGAAAATGTCACGAGCATGCTGAATTCTACAAGCACATAAAGAATATATCATCTGAATTTGTTCAGTCCAGCTGTGTTTGTAGAAACCCGTTCAACTGAACCTGTACCATCAGTATAGCCAAATATAACTGAAATGTTTAAATGATGTTCTGGGAGGATATTTTTAAAAACATGTCTCTGTATTTTCTTTTTAGTCCATATAATGAAAGTCAATAGGATCCAGACATTCTTCAAAATATCTTCTTGTAAAACCAAGTTTGGAACAACATGAGGGTGAAGAAAAGATGACAGCATATTTGTTTTCGGGTGAACTGACCCTTTAAATGTGTGTAGTAAGTGAACAGAGCTAAAGGAAGCATCCAAAACAGGAAGCCTCTCCCTATCGTATGATCATTTCCAGCATGCTGAACAGTTTGTTTTACCTTCCGGGTAAGCAGGCTTTTCCTCCTCATGCCACAGGCCTCCAGCTGCAGTCTTCCTCGTAAGGCCAGCTCAATGAGCATGCAGCCCCGCAGGCCTGATGAAATGCAGTCATTCCAGAAGGAGGTGTAGCCCTGCACATAAACAAAACCCAAGTCAGTACAAATGCCCCATCAAAGTTCAGAGCTTCAGTGCAGCTATACAACTTCCATGCAAATGGTTTGTGAACAAAGAAAAATATTCTAAACAGTTTACAGATTACTCAAAATGATAAAAACTGCTAATATGGGCTCCAGTTCTTTTGTGTGAAGTACCACAAATACGACACAAATCACAAAAATAAAAAGAATTCTGAAAAAAAGAAAGAACTGCAATTCAAATGTAAATTTAACAAAGAATTGCAGTAAACATGTATTCCCATAAGAATTTTATCACACAAAATATGGGGAAGATTGATAAAGTTGTATATTATATTATAACCATTTATTTTTAGGGTGACGTTGTCAAAATGATATTCGTTCACACAGATCAGCGAATACGACTAAAAACACTGTTATGCTGCCAGTAGTTGGCTATGTTACAGCTAATAACTTAAAACTACAGCTAATAATAGACTCGTAATATGCATGCATACACATGTCACAATTTCAAAAATTCACATTTTTTGTAGTTTACACAGGAGAAAATAATAGTATCCTTTTCAAAAGTTTGCATTTCAGGCTCCGTTGTTGACGTATAAATGAATGGCCAAAAAGCATAAACTATTTTACTTTTTTAGTTAAAAGTGGTGTCGTGTAAACAGCTCCTTAGAGTTATCTAAAAATATTTTGTGGTACTGCATGGTAAAACGGAAGAGGTGATAACAATGCCTGTTATTTTAACTTTGTCTAATCAGCTGAAATGAAAATGTATACTACAGACCATACCAGAAAAGAGTCAAAATGGTAATACCGGTAATATATTTGATCACACAACCTGTTGGAGTAATACATTTGTTTAACTATTGCATTTCTTTGAATTCCAATTCAGTCAATTTCTCCTGCTGTCATAGTTTAACTTTCTGTGGGGTGTGGACAATGAAATTTAAATTTCATTGCTTGAACTAAATTAATGAAATAAAATGGGGAATTTTCCCTAACACTGATGGATAATTATGATGTTAGTTTTCATCTGCCGGAGTGTCATGTTCAGCAGTGGATGAAGTGAGCGATGGATCCTTCCAGCACTAACAAGGCCTGCTTTGTGAAGGTCCAGCCTCTCTATCCCAGAGGCCACAACCGGGAAACAACAGGCCTCTTTTAAGGCACTGGCAACACAGGCAAGTTTGCTCAGCACAAGCTAAACCCCAGAATAATGCACAATGAGTAGGCTAAATAATTAAGTAAATCATTTTGAATACGTCAACAGGAATTATAACGTGAAATGTTAGTTTCCATAGACAATTTGCTTTAAACTGGAAATTAAGGATGCACCGAAAATTATCATCAACTATTTTCTGTCCGAAAGAGAAAAAAGGCTGAAAATATGGCGCCCTGCCCCTCCTATCCGTGTTCAGCGATCAGGTTGCACTCTCTTTCAGCATGTTTTGTAACTTTGCGAGTGGCTCCGCTTCAAGAGATGCACAGCTTCGAAACAACAACTCAGTGTTCCGCTGTGTGAGTACATGTGCTCTGCTCTCTACGTTCCGTGTGTGCGCTGCGCACTCTGCTCAATGTAGCGCTCAGTGCGTACATGCTCTTAAAGGACCGCTGAAATCTAAACTTAAGTTTGTTAGCTTTTAGTATGACTATGTTAGCCTTGAGGTCAGAGGTGGAAAATAACGAATAACACTCGAGTTTACTCGAGTTACTAAAGTAATTTTTGTGTACTTCTACTCCAAGTAGTTTTTAAAATCTGTAATTTTACTTTTACTTAGGTACGTTTTGATTGAAGTACTGTACTTTGCTACATTTGAAATCATGTCTGTTACGGAGTAAAAATTAATAATACAAGGGAGAAAACAAATCACACTTCGAAAACTACTGCATTGATTGGAGGGCGGGAGAACAGATGCGCAAAAATAGTGACGCAGACCCCAGCTGAAGCTGAAAGTGAAGCGCCCTTCAATTCTTATGAAGTGAATTGCCAGTACGGAAATACTTTGGATGTAGAAAAAAGTGTGGTTGTCCTCGAGATATCCAATTTGCAAAAAAAAAGGTGGACGCAAAGTGGCTGCAAAAGGAGGATACATAGGACACCATGTGTCAAAATGAAGGATGGATTAATACATGGAAAGTAGAACTGAGCAATTAATCCAATCACGACATGGTCTGAATATTTAAGCGCAAAAAAACTGCTATGTACATATATGGATATAGTATAGTAGTAATAGTATTGAATGCTAACAGCAGGTGATGGTCTGCTACAATAGCAGCCCCCAAGGGAGGCTGATGAATTACCCCCTTGCATCCACGTGTCTCCAATTTTTTGTGATCGCTCATACTTCACTAGGCTACAAAAGCACCAATTGCACATGCGCTGGAGAAACAGCATTTACGTTGAATTTGAAGAGAGGATGTGTGAAGTCCGTCGCTACCCACACCTCTACAATCCGTCATTAGAACAATATAAAGACAGCCAGATGTTCAATCATTTGTGGAGGGAAATTGTGTAAGTGAACAAGCCGATCTTTTTTGAAACACGCCCACCGAGCGGAGCCCAGCGTCCATTTTGCGTAGTAAATACAAGTAGTCTGTATCCAAGCACTCGACTCGTACAATCACGATCAAATAACATGTCGACATTACATTTCTCTGGACTTGTTTCTGTTTGCAATAGCCCTCCTGTGCTGTAACATGGTTCACTGATCCATTCCCTGCTGTGCTCAAATGCTCTGATAATAATAGAGCAATATCTTTCTAAGACTTTACTTTATTTTGATAATTGGTCAAAAAATAAAAGTTTTTTTTTTAATTTTTCTCAAAATAGCCCCACACTAACACCGTAACATAATGAGGGTCCCTGCATGCAAAACAAAGCATTGAGAACTTTGTACAGACCGTTTAATAAGAAGATACTTTATAAAGACAGTTCACTTCGTGTATACAGGCGGCGCCATCTTTGGAAAACAGTCACGACTAGTCAAACCACGAACGACGTGCTGAGTGAGCTGAACTGTATGAAGTTTGGCAAACTTCTGAACTGTATGAACGGCGTTCGGGGATCGACTAATCGAGACTATTTTCTAAGATGGCTCCTGTCTGTATACACGAAGTGAACTGTCTTTATAAAGTATCTTCTTATTAAACGGTCTGTACACTTACAAAGTTCTCAATGCTTCGTTTTGCATGTAGGGACCCTCATTATGTTACTGTGTTAGTGTGCGGCTATTTTGAACCATGTTGGTGCTATAAACTAGCGATTTCTTTTTACTTAGTCAATGCCCCCAGTACTAGCATTATAAACTAAACAGTTTTTAGAGATAAAACTCTTTACATTCGATTATCATGAAAACAAATCTCAGGGAACGGTTGACTAGGTACCAATGTTTTATTAGACCAAAGGTTAATTTTGCACCGGAGTTCTCCTTTAATCAAAGTTGTCTTAAGACAAGAATGGTTATTGTTCAAAATATATGCATAACTTTGATGAAAAGGTTTTGATTATTTCCTTTAAAAGTCTAATAAAAAAAAACTAATTTAAAATAGGACATAATTATTTATTACATAATTATTCGGTTTTCGGCCAAGTGCATCCAAAATTTTCGGTCCAGAATGTTCATTTCAGTGCAACCCTACTGAAATTGTTCAGAACAATAAAAAAAAAAAAAACATGAGATTCAAGCATCTGGGTGTGTAGTGATGACATACTACACACGAACATGGCTTGAATTGCATGTTTTGTTTTTTTTCTAGTGTAACTTAAAAAGAATCATCAAATGTCAAAGCTGCTTTTTCATACAACAATAGTGCATGAGGAACAAGTTCAGCTGAAACTGTGCTTGGTTTATTAAAAAATAGCTCATATTAAGAACAACTTTATACTTTAAAGACCTACTCTACTGTTCAAAGGTTTGGAGACAGTACAATTTTTTTAAAGAAATTAATACTTTCATTCAGCAAGGATGCATTAAATAAATGAAGTGACAGTAAAGAAGAATAACATTCAGACTGTCTTTTCTTCCCAATTGTTATGTATATCTGAGGAGTGAAACTAGAACTAGCAAACAACAACATATAGGACAGTACTTGATTTTGTCTATTGGGAATTGATTGGATCATTGTTGTTTGCTTTTGCTGTGGCAGGTTAGACAACATTTCTTCTTTAAACAACACAGCACTCAAACTCAGGAAAAGTTGGTCATGGTTTTCTCGTTGACATTGTCAATGTGCGCAAGTCCTCTGTCCTGTGATTTGTGCTCTGTCACATCCGATGGATTTCGCAGAAAATCCGAGAAATAGGAATACTGGCCTTCTGAGGTAATAGTAAAACCCGACAAGTGGATCATTTTAATGTATGATTACAACCTCTTCACAAACAAACAGGCAATAAAAAGGATTCATTTTAGAAGAAGCCATGCCAGCTACCGCTGCAGTTAGCTGCACAGCTAACTTCATTTTTTTTAATCATAAGACTCAAATGAAAATTAATAATTCTTACAGAGCTGTGTGATAACGGATTATAAAGTTCTACATAATTTTATGGAGTGTGTCCTTTGCTTTTCAAACAGATCCTCCATGTTGGTGACCTCCAACCCAATGAATGGTTATGATACTAGCTTACAAGTCAACTTGCTAGGCTAAATACTTAACAGTACAGACTGTATATTTGTTTAACTCTGCGAGAGAGGCTAAGTTATTGCTTTAAAACAACGTTTTAACCATAAATATTTTCTCTAATTTAGAGTCCAAACAAATTATTTGATGGAGCTTAAAACAACGGCTATCAAACCATTTTGGATGTTTTCCTTACTGTAGATTTGATTTATGTCAACTCAGTAGTAGTAGAGGTTTCAAGTTTCATATCAAAAGGCAAACTTTAGAAATACAAACGTAAAATAAACCTAGGATTTGTCCAAAACAGTTTGGATTTACATGCTTTGTTAGAATGTGTACAACATGTGGGTGACTTAGTAACAATAATTTAAGTGGGCAATAAAGACATTTCGACTATTAATTCGTCCTGCAACTATAAATCTTAACAATAAACAAATGCTTCACATTTTAGTTTCTTAAAGCAGCACTGTATAAAACCATCATGCTGAGCTTCATGTGGATATGACAAGATAATGTCATAGCATCTTAACGTCACAATGGTTATCATTTGCTGTAAGAAACGGTCTAGAATTTAAGTATTAGACAGTTAAAGGCATAACTTGGGATTTTAAACTATGTTCTTTACGCAATGTCGATTTGTTTGTCTGATGGTACAACGAGAGAACTTCTAACTTAACTGCAGTTCAAGGCAAGCTAAAAGCTACATTGCACCACAGCAATATTGTTGTTTGCTTTTGATTCAAAACGTCACCATTTTAGAAAAGAAAATGAGTTTTAATAAACCCAGACTGTTTCCAGCAGCATCTTTCTTTAAAGAGCTCAAATGTAACGTAAACTATGAAGCACACGATCGTGGAGAGTGATGATGTGACAACTAAGCTAACGTTACTAAAAAAAAGCAAAACAACAACAACCTCGCGGTCTTTCAAGCCCAGCAGCAGTACTTCCTCCATCAGGGTCAGTCTGGTTTCCTTGGCATCGCTGCTGTCGTCGTCGTCCTGCTCGTCTCCTCGGCGGGGCTCGTAGTCCTCGTCGCCGGATCCGCGCTCTCTGTCTGCGGCTGCAGCGCTACGCGAAGCCTCGGTGCGCCTTTGCACCAGGCCGGAGCTCCGCTGGGTCAAGTTACTCATCTCTCAAACAGACTAAAACAAACCTCCTTCCCAGACTCCTGTCTGAGAACAGACTGGATTATTCAGTCCTATGCATAAATGATCCCCGGGGTGAATACGGGGAATAAAGGTGTGTTTAGGGATTTGTTTTGGAGAGGGGCCCCTCGCGATCCCAGCCGCGGACCGTCGCTGTTTCCGTCAGGTTTAATATGGCGACCTGCCGTGAGTGACGACTAGCTACAACAGTAGATGTGGCATCTCAACACTCAGTTTGTATCTGAGGAGGTAGGCTACACAACGAGACAGCATTTTCAGTGAGGTGACACCACTAGAGTTATTATAGCTAAAGCCATTAAAAACATTTTAGTTACGTAATCCTCTATGGGGCATCGTTTATAACTGATGCGAAGAAAATAGCTTTTTTATAATGTAATAATAATAGTCAACAAAAAAATAAAAATACAGTTTAGAAATATATGACATCAAAATATATGAAGAGTGAATTTTTTTTGGCAAAAAGAAAGTAGAGATAATACACTCTATTATTATTAGGAACTTTATTAGGATTATTAGGAACACATGTTCAATTTCTGATTAATGCAATTATCTAATCAACCAATTACAAGGCAGTTGCTTTAATGCATTTAGAGGTGTGGTCCTAACTCCAAACTGAATGTCAGAAAGGGAAAGTAATGTGATTTAAGCAATTTTGAGCGTGGCAAGGTTGTTGGTGCCAGACGGGCCAGTCTGAACTTTCTGAGTATTTCACAATCTGCTCAATTACTGGGATTTTCACGCACAACCACAACCATATCTATGGTTTTCAAAGAATGGTCAAAAAACATCCAGTATGCGGCATTCCTGTGGGCGAAAATGCCTTGTTGATGATAGAGGTCAGAGGAGAATGGGCCGACTGATTCAAGCTGATAGAAGAGCAACTTTGACTGAAATAACCAATTGTTCGATTTCTGTTGAGACATTCAAATAATAGAGTCAAAATTTGGCGAAAACAGAATGAGAACATGGATCCATCATGCCTTATCACTGTGCAGGCTGGTGGTGTGTGGGGGATGTTTTCTCTGCACACTTTACAGTAGCACCTTAATGCAGTACATGAGATTCATGGGGAGGAGTCGGATCAAGATCCAAGGGGTGGATTAGGGGTGGGTTTAGGGATCAGGGGGCAGAATTGGGTAGGTTAAGGTGTATATAATGTGGGAGGAGTTGGATCTGGATCCAACTCCTCCCCGTGGATTTCATGTTCTGCAGTGAGAACCATCACACACTTTAGGCCCCTTATTGCCAATTGGGCATCGTTTAAATACCAGATCATATTTTCTGACCATGTCCATTGCTTTATGGCCACCATGTACCCATCCTCTGATGGCTACTTCCAGCAGGATAATGCATGTCACAAAGCTTGAATCATTTCAAATTGGTTTCTTGAACATAACAATGAGTTCACTGTACTAAAATGACCCCCGCAGTGACCAGATCTCAACCCAATAGAGTATCATTTGGGATGTGGTGGAATGGGAGCTTCGTGCCCTGGAATCTCCATCAACTGCAAGATGCTATCCTATCAATATGGGCCAACATTTCTAAAGAATGCTTTCAGCACCTTGTTGAATCAATGCCACGCAAGACAGTTCTGAAGGTGAAAGAGGGTCAAACACAGTATGGTGTTATATGTATGTATATACACATATATATATATATATATATATATATCATTGCACATCCAATCCAAATGTGTTTTGGTTCTTTTTAATGCACATTTTGTACAAACAAAAACTCAAAAGACCAAAAAAAACAAAATCTGTACTTCATAAATAACAAAGTCCTTTTAGAGGAGACATATTTTCTGTGTAGCAGGCACTATTGGCAGGCAGTATAATATCTTCTCAGCCTGTTAGGTTGATATTAGTATGTTTTATAGAAGACAGAGAGGAAAAGCTGTACCTTTTCCAGAAACTGATGGAAATCAAATAATAATAATAATAAAAAAACATTTGTCAGAAGCATTTGCATTAAAAGATACTTTTCTAGAAGTACAAGAACTGATCATCATTGATCTAATCTTTTATTTCAATCATATTTTGTGGACAAACAGAGCAAGTTACATACTCCCATGTGCATATATAAAAGTATTTAATGCTACTTTTACGTGAAAATTATCATTTTTAAGTAAATAGTCCAAAATAAAGCAATCTGACATTTTTCATATATTCCACAGCCAAACTCTTGACAATAAGAACTCTAAAGTTGGTTACAGAAAACTACAAAACAATTATACAGTAATCCGTTTCTTATCCAGCACACCATCACGTGTCCTAGACGAGAGCAGTGCTGAACTGAAGTGAACAGAATCAGATTAACAGCTGACTGACTGTTCAAGTAACAGTGAATGACTTGCAAAGGAGCAGTAGTGCAAAATAAGGGTGAAAGGGTTGTAAGAAAACTGCTTTCTCCAAATCTTTGCTAACAAATAATGCTTACATCAGTTTCATTACATTACAATTATTGTGGGGTGGAGGGGAAGGGCAACAGACATCGAACAACACAATTTAGTGCCTGTTGATTTGTGGCAGTAGTTCTGCAGGCACCAGTGAAAATAAAATAAAAAGAATGTGCACAAATGCAGATACAGTATGAAAATAGCTTATATTCATTATATTTGCACAAGCTTTCAGTCTACTATGAGGACTTACTCTTAAATTTGTCAATTGAATCTTGCTGCGTAAGTGCTGATTAAAACTTTCTTTCACATCCTGTGGTAATGTCTATTTGCATCATGGATTTGCCATCATAAGAAAAAAACAGTTACAAATTAATTATTCAGCTTTGTGTCCTTTAAAAATGTCCCATACTACCAATTACAGCATCTAAGGTTCAATAAAATGAGTCATTCGGTCATCGGACGGATAAGAGTCACACAGTGTATATCAGTGTACTATAAAGCACTGAATCTCTGAGACAGCTGATATCATATATTGTTCTCTACTTCCTGTTTTCTTACAAAACAAAAGCCCCCATGTCCACATTAAACATTTATAAACCCCAAAGGTTGACATGGTATCTGAAAAAAAGAGAAGAAATCATATTGGTCCATATAGCAGTCTAATCTTCAATAGATTTTAAATGCAATAGAAACAATAATATACGTGTAGATGGCTTCACGCTATTGTCATTGCCTATAACCTTTTTAGACACATCACACTCCCATAGATAGCTAGAGTGAATACTGCCCACTTTTAACCCCTGCGGCGGCATGTAGAGACGGACCACTGAGTGCATGGATGTATCAGAAGTTATAACATGTGAGGGGTCAGAGAAGTCAAATGTATTTATAACTCTTATATTTGCGATCATTCGTTCATCCATAGATCATTGGAATGGAATACTATATGTTACTTGGTAAAGATTTTATGTAACACTGTGCACTGGAAAGGCTGGAAGTTCAAGACTATATCCTGTTCCTGTTTTGTGACGAGCAAGAGGTAAATGCTAGGTGTCGTTCCTTTAAGAACATCAAAAACACTAAAATAAAAGAGCTTTAATCCTGTTTGAAGGCTCACATTATGTTTTCAGTATAATAGGGCACAATTGGTTAGGCAAAGGCGTATTTTCCTTTCCAAAAGGAAACGCTTTAGCACCAAAGGCACTTTTAAGCACAATCATCTGGATTTGAATCTGGATCTGACGAGGTCAATATAATCCCGATTGTATTATAATTATAATTTAATAATATATGGACAAATATTTAACATATGGGTGAAAAACAGATTCCCTGTTAAATCAAACTCACAACCTAACTGGCCTCATCCTCCTGACTAGCTAGGTTGTCTGTTACCATAAGGCTTTGCATTAGGCCTGTAGGAATGATGGGCTTGAAAGATCGGTTGCGGCTGTAAGCAAAGGGGAATGAAGATGACAATCGTCCCGAGGAGCCGAACGAGAGCAGCCGGTGCTGAAGGTGTGGGCGGTGATCGAATTTAGCAGCTTGTGATGCGTCTCTCTGCTCAAGCACACGCTTCAGATCCTGCACCTGACTTACAAGTTCCATAAGCTTGGTCATGAGGGCCATGGAGCCTCCGCCCTGGATGTGCACCTCAGGTATCCAGCGCACGTAGCGCTGCATCCAGACGCGGACAGCCGGTCCATCTAGACTGGGGAGCAGGATGCCGTGATAATCCAGAGGGCGCTGTTGCCAGGACTCGTAGAACTCACGGGTGGCGGCCACAGGGGAGTCAGGAGAGCCCATCCAGCGACTGATACGCTTCACTCGTAGCATCTTTTTAAGGCTGTCGGTCTCCTCCTTAAAGAAACCTTTCTTGGGTGGGGTTTTGAAGGCTGTACTGGGTAAGGATAACTGTCTTTGGTGCTGTACGTTTTAAAATAAAAATAAAAAACTATTTAAATATTAGTCTGCAAACAATTTATGCACAGAACAAACTCAATTTAGATATTATTCAATATGAAGAGCAAAGTCAGACACAAAAAAAGCCAAAGACAAATAAGTAGGGCAAAATTGGGTAAGATGCCCACCTCACCTTTCATTTTCCTGTTGACAACGGGTGTCACTAAACTTAATCAGCATTTGTGAGATTTATTTTATCTGACATAAATTTGTATGGTAACAAATTGTTTTCTTATTTTGAAGCAAAAGGTAAAAAAAGTGCAAAAAATGGGGAAATAAAACAAATTGTGAGTTGTCTTCTCAGTTGTATAGAAGAAGTAAATCTGAGTGAAATGGAAATAATAATAAAAAATGAAAATGAAGATTGCTTTATCTGTTAACATGCTTTTTCTTTTTTTTATTAATAAAAATATTAATTTCATGGACAAATAATTTATAATAAACATGGCAACAATCCATAAACAATACAAATTGTGATTTTTGATTCAATTGTGACTAATAATTATAATAATTCATTGACAATTAATAACTCAATGGCATCTTTATTATTCATCATAAAGTGTAGGCTAACTCAGTGGCATCACTTAATCGAAATTCATAGTTTCTTGCTATTCTTATCTATCACTTTTAAAGATATAACACTTAAACATTTTCAGTATTTTATAATTATGTAAGGACCTGTTTACACCCGGTCAGGTGGCGATCCGATTGTGAAAACACCAGATGCAAATGCCCTCTAAAACTGATTTAAATCCGAACGCTCAAACCACTTCAGCAGATGATTAGAGATGGATTCCAGATGAAACTGGACAAATGAAAATGCATCTGGTTGTTGAAACCACATTTGTAAATTTGACTCCTCCCAAAAAGGAAAAAAAATAAACGTGCGAGCACGTTATAGGCTATGACATCTAGCCAGATATGACAGGGCTTCTGCAACACGCATCCTTTCAGCAAGCCGACGTGCATACTGCTGCAAATTAAACTGAAAGCAAGTCGCAGACGTTCAACACACAATCATCTTCATTAAAAGTAGTGAGACTTCTTACCAGTCCTGACGACCCTCTCTCTCCTATTGTGGTCTTTGATCTTGAAATTAGCTGATGATAAATAAAATGCAGCTCATATCTGTTCATTTCGTTGACGTGATTTCAGTTAAATTTGCATATAGCACGGGAGTTTGTAGATCGGATTTATATTCGTTTCGCGGAGACACATTTATGTGGCTAAGCGTAAATGGAACCGTTTCAAAGAATCAGATTTCAATCAACAAAAACACAAGAAGTGACCAGATGTAAACAGGCCCTGAAAGGTCAAGAGATAGTACATCATTTCATCCTCTCACCTTGGGTTTGTGAGGTTTGCGTACAGTCTTCTCATGTTTCACCTTCTCTGAATACAGTGGATTAAAGAAGAAATTCTGGGCCTTGCTGTCAAACTGCACAGACCAGTCCCACACTGTAGGGCAGCTCAATGTGCCGCTTTGTGCAAGTGGTGACTCGGCCTGCCAAGACAATCAAGCACAGGCAGTCAGCAGGAGGCGTGTCGACTGCGTCAGGGAGGCAACGGCCACTAACTTCTGAGAAAACGTAGACTAACGACAGCATTACAGAGGGCTGACTGTTTTCTTTTGAGCCACTGTACTTCTATAGACGCCTCTAATACTGTTCATCTGGCAGAATGGTGAATGCGGTACTCAAAATACAAAATAGTGTAGCGAACTGACTCTAAACAGCAATCACAAAATCAAAATATATATTTTTTAAAACATAAAATACAAAAGTTCTACCTTCATAACACTTTCTCTGTGATAGGCAGAGTTGAACAAAAAGGTGCTGAAGACTGGCACGTGAATACTGTCAGACAACACAGTCAGGTAAGTCTCTGAGAACTGGAAAGCCGGGCTGTGCTGGTGAACAAGCTGCCACACACACTCCAGGAACAGGAGGAAGACTGGAGAATGACACTGCGCATTGAGAAACAAGAATCGAATTAAAAAGACAACAAGGATGAGAAAACATCATCCATCATTTATCATTAAATGAACAATTGATGATCTCTAAATAAATCCTAGTAGGGATCTCAAGATCTCAGTCTCATTCTGAAGGGATTTATCGCAATTCATATTTTTAATTTACGGCACATCCTTATCCACCTTCTTTTGCAACACGGACGTGTGCAATTTTCTTGAATGTGTGAGACTTCCAATTCATTAGAGACCATAGGCTAATAACTACAAGAATTACAAAGTGCTGAATGTAAACTGTAAAACTATTTCCGCTATAAACTTATGCGTTTACAATTATGATAATGCAATTAAAACAATATATAAAAGTTATCATACATAACAAGTTATATAAAAGCAATATAAAGCAGTTTAATGGGCTGTTTTTGTGCAGGCAAAATAACTGGAACCGTATGACACCAGAAACAAGATGAAATTAAATAGCTGTGCCCACTCTTACGTAAAAAATAAGGGGGATAGGAATGCCCATCTGGAGGGCAAAACAGGGCTTTCCTCCATTGCACGCTAGTTATTTTTACCAGATTTGTACTAATGTAGTAAGAGAGTGATATTATGATGTATGTCAGGCAAGCAGGTCAAACCAGAATATAAACAATGTGAAGTTTTCTTTAGGTGTTTTCTCATAAAATAAAAAAAAACCTTTATAAAGAAAACGCTTAACCATCTTTTTTTTGTTGTTTTTTGTTTTTTGTTTTTTTGAGAGGTCTGTGCTGCAGTTTGGATGTTTTGCTCTCAAGGTCTCCTCACTAGTAGCTTGACTGAAAACTATGAGTAGTGACCGGCTGACTGTATATTATGTATATCACATGGTTACTTAGCAAACAGGTAAATAAATGGCCACAGATTTTAGGCTATTTATTTTTTTACATGACAAGAAAGTGTCTCAAGTGGAACAAAAAAAACATGATACTACTGCAGGAGATCGGTTGAACAGCCAAATGTGAAATGCTAATATTTGAGGATTTGTTCAGTAATTTTCCGACAATTGTCATTAGACATGACATGATTTTACAACCTCATAAAAGTTATGTTTGCAGGTGAAAAAGCCTTTAAAATCTAAGAGGTTAAGAATAATTCAAATAGGAAAATATACAGTAGAACAGTAACATTTCCACTAAGCCTCTGAAGAAACAACAGGCAAGAACGAGCATGCAATAATTACCTCCTTGTCTTTCTGATGGAGGTGATTACATCGATCCAGGAAGGCATGGCAACCAGCCACCCACTCCTTCTGCACCAGACTTTGGAAACCCATCAGTGTTCTGTAATAAGGGTCCAGCATTATCTGAGCCAGCGAGGAGATCACACAGCACAGATCTGTTCCCTCTTCCTCTGCAATCAATCAATAACAACAACAGAAAACATCAGAGGATACAATCTCAAAGTCATAAAGATCGATTCATTGAGGTTTAAAAGTACTTTATTTTTTGAAGGTGAGGAACTGTACTTCTCTCAGACACTTTAACCACCACCACCACCAAAAAAAAAAAAAAAAAGGTGGTCCCATCCCAAACTCCACTATTGGCTCACATGTCAGATTGTTCAAACTATCAAAACAATGTTTTGAAATCACAATATAAGCCATATAGTTGTAACCTGCTTGACTTACCTGTTACAAGGACATTTGTGTTGTCTTTATCAATACATTCAACCACCTCTACTGCTTTGTGGAGACATTGCCTGTTGAGGACATTACATACAGTCTGTTAAAAGTGTCAAATTCGAATACTAGTAAATCACACAATCTAATATGTTCTCAATGTAAGCTGACCTAATAATGTCTAGCCATCCTGAGCTTTCAAGGGAAGAGAACCATTTCACATCTGACAACCAAAAATCGGTTGAATTATCTAAGAGACAAAAAATAACATTGAGTCATTATAAAGTGACTGCAAACAAAATACCCATCGTTTCATTTTATATTTGAGGATTTGTTCACATTTCCTTATAAAAGAGACTTCAGTGTATTCTGTGACTCACCGATAAGAAAGAATTGTTTGAACTTGTTATATGACTGCTGGATGTCTAGGATCGTAGGAAGGGATTCTGAGAGGTCCTCTGTTTTTACGGAGTAGAGGTAATTATGTGCGACTGCATTTATCATTCTGCAAAAGAAGTAAAAAAGAAAAAAACAGAATTTGTCAATGTGAAGGTACCAGTGACAGTCAAAATAAGACAATACTTAATTTTTATTTTTTTTATTTGCTGTGAACACCATGTTACACAACTATTTTATTTGCTGCGGACACAATGTTACATCACCAAAAACACGAAAAGTTTATATTGGTTCATGCTGATGGTGTCTAGAGCACTACTAGATAACATACTGGCATGTTGTTCTTTGATAAAGAACAGTGCCCTTGAGTTTCAGCACCTAAACACACAGAAACTCAGGGCACAAATAACCCATTTCACAGCAGTTTGGCTGATTCCAGAGGATAAATAAATATGAGTCAAAAACTGTAATCCATTACGTGTCCAAGTGCTTTTGGAAATCCCCTTCTTCCTGCGTCATAGGTGGGAAAGATCCTTTGAAGAGAGCACAACCGCTGTGATGAGACCAACACCAGATCTGAAAAGGAAAATAACAGGCAACTGACCTCAGTTGCATTCAGCTATACAAATGACAACTTGTATACAAAGGCCAACATTACAATTATAATAACATTACAAAATTATTTAAAATGTTTATATTCTCTAAAGATAAAATCCTTAACTCACTGGCAATCCCTTTCCTTGATAGCTGAATACATCCTCTAGTGCTAATGGGATGACAAAGTACTTCGGTAACCTAAAGAAAATGTCAGAGCAGTGTCTTTGTTGAATACATTTATTTCACATTAACATTTTCAATGTGTGACACGATCACTAAAAACATTTTTGCTAATTCTTTTATAATTAATATAGATCCATGCATTTTATCCTATATTAATTGAGAGAATACATTGGATTTATTTTGAAAATTCACATTTATTCAATGCAGGACTTTTTAACTGCTAAAAATGGATTAAATAAGTTACATCACCTAAAACTACTGACAGTAGTTTTGAACTACCCAAATATAAACAATGTAGGATTGATAAAAAAAATAATAATCTAGGTCAGTAGCACATAAAGACTATGATAGATTAGAGATTAGAGATGTCGTTACAGAAAATGCACCTTCTAATAAAAACAGTAGCAAGACTTTATCAGACACTTTATAGCCATCAACAACAACATTAAGTACCTTTGAGAGAGCTCAAAGTTCTCATTTTCTGTCACTAATCTGCATTTCGATTTGGTCCGTTTCATTTCCTGTGTCCAGTCCTCTGGTGACTCAAACATAATTGTCTCCCGTTTCCTTTGCATTTCTGCAAACAGAAATAGCATATTGTGTTGTTCCAAAGTTGACAAATGAGAGTTACGCTATCTAATATATATATATATATATATATATATTTATCCTTCATTCTAAAACTAGTCTGATAGTCAAGGGGGCAAGTGTGAGAGTTTCAAATCAGTTGTTAGAACTCTCAGGGCTCTATCTTGCACCCGGCACAAATGACTTTATACACTGACGCATTTATCATTCCTATTTTGCACCGGCGCAAAGTCAGTCTAAAGTCAGTGGCGCATTGCGCATACATTCAGATGCTATTTTAAGCACGCATGCTTGGCCATAATACAGAGTGTGAACAACGCGCATACACTGTAGATGATTCTCTCAGCTACACAGACAGATGCATTTTACTTTTTGAAAATGATACATTATTATGAGAAAAAATATATATACATGAGGGAAATCATTGTTGTGTCCATGATGATGGGAAAAATAGGCATAAAACTTACACATTTACCCAACTTATTATATGCATGTTTGTCCCTTCTCTTTCTTTTACGGCCCTGACGAGAACATCGATCTCCTCGGCTGTGAACCAATGCTGAAGTGCATCTGGTAAATGTCATTAAAATAGAATTGCGGCATGGAACAAGCGCACCTCGTTCATCACGCTCTTAAAGGGAATATGATATGACGCTCTTATTGGTTTATTTCCGTTTCGCCCAAACCACACATGAATAGTGAAGCTCGACCAACCCCTTTTAGATTTGCGCCAGGCGCAAGAGGCATTTATCCCGACGGGAAAATAGCAACAGCCCCGGGATCCGCCCACACATTTTTATCTTTAGCTATAACCTCATAAATTTCATAGGTAACACTTTGAAAGTCCCATTTGTTAACAAGGATGTAATCAATAGCTTTAAATATGCAACTTCACCAGCTAATGGATGCATACCAGTGACCAGCCGGATATAAACTAATGGAAATAGATGGTAACAATTGTGACATAAAACATTTGGGTCATGTCTGTGTGTGTTTTTGTCACATTGCTTTAATCGCTTGAGGTAGCCGTTAATGTTATTCCTCTCAGACTCGACAGCAAACACACTGTTTTTATTTCTCTAATGCAGCATCTAGTCAATAAATTAATTACTTTATAATGATATGGCAATATGTACTTTAGTGTTCAATATTCATACCGTTTAACACTTCAAGTGTCAGCGCACTCACTTGTTAAGCCTAATTTAAACTTCTGCGTCGAACTCACACCGTAGCTACGCCGTAGGCTGTGTGTAGCGTGCGTACCCTTCTGTACCTGGACATGCACCTCTACAAAAATGTAACGACGTGTCAATTCTACGCGTACCGCAAGCGCTGTAATTGGTCTGCTAGAACCGCTCCCCAGGTTTCACATGATCCCTCTGTCAATCCCGCCCATCAATGCGGACAACGTAAAGTATAAGGCCCCGTTTACACGAAGGGAAAACGCAGATATTTCCCTGCAGTTTGGCCTCTCATTTACACGAAAACCCAGTTTTTATCACAGAAAACGATTATTTCTAAAAACTCCGGCCAAAAAAGATTTCTGGAAATGCCAGTTATGTGTTGTCGTGTCAACTGGGAGAAACAGGGTTTTAGGTTCTCTCTTGTCGATTCTGAGGATTCTGATTGGCTTGCATCCATCTCCCTACACTGCCGCCCATAGGTTTGGCATAGTTATGATGGCGCTCGACGGCATATTTATGCGGGTGTGTGCACGATGTTATTATTGAAAACAGAGGTGGGTGAAATACCAGTTTCTCTAAATACCTGGCTTTGTGTAAACATGGCCAAAATGAAAACCAATAGCGCGGTCTATAGCGTAGAGGCTCCGCCGTAGGTCCAACGCATAAATATAAACAAGCCTTTAATGTAAACAACTCAGCCAGTGGTAGTTTGTTATTTGTCCTCTAGAGGCCGCTCTCACTCTGTATACTGCCAGCAGTCTTTTCCGAACGCGCTCCAGTGCGGTGCACACTTTTCAGCCGCTCCAGCAATGGATGCAACCCGGAAAAACTATCGGTGTGGATTTTGCCGATAAAGATAGTTCCACCAATCAACTATCAGTACCGATATATCGGCAAAACTGATGAATCGGTCGAAATCTACCCGATACCAGCTGTGCTTTCAAGCGCTCACATCTCTCCGACAGCAAGTTAACACACAAACCCGCCTACCCTCACTCACTCATTTTCTCCAGTTGGATATTGTTGTCGTTACAGGGCTTGTACTTCAGTGTGGGATTGCACATAATTTTACTAATTCGGGCAGATTTTGTGCTCACACCCTAAGTGCACATGCATAAACCTGCCTCTCAGTACAATAACAAGTTATTGTTCCCTAGCAATTGCGCTTCAACAGTCAAATAGACACAAAATAATGTCAAAATGCCAGTCTTGGTGAGTATTCAAATTCAAATTCAAAAACTATCTATCAACCAGTGATATTAATTTGTCTTTGGTTAAAAAGGCTCACACATATACAGTACAAATCACACACACACACACACACACACACACATCACAAAACACAATTAATACAAAGAAAAAAGTAGGACTACCTTATAAATGTGTAAATAAGCCTCACGTAAACACAGTCAGTTGTTGAGAAAGAAAACAAATGTGTAACAGTATAATGGATCTATTGCGTTAGGTGCTCTTTCATCATCTTGTGTTCGAGATCCACCTATGGGAAGGGCATCCGTGCCTGACCTCTGCAGAAGCATCCAATTCTACCAAGTCTGGCTAGACAGACAGAAGCGCAGCCAATGCCAGGTAAGGCCCCGCCCCCTACCTGAGGGCATATAACGCCTGCAAGCGCTGCTATTCTCCAGTTGACATTCGCTTCTCGCGATTTCTGCATTTACGCAGTTCGATTGGATTACACTGTTTACTTGTGTGTCTTCAGGAGGACATATTGACTGATCAGCATCCGCCAGACGTGACAGTCGTTTTTCAACCTTTCAGCTGTGTTCTGCATCTGGAGCCGCCCACGCTTTCACCATTCTCCCCACCTCCTCCTCCCTCTTTCTTTGCTGATATATGTCGCTGTCTAAACCTTCCGCTTCTCCATGGAACAGCCTATCACAGGCCTGCCCGGCAACGTGTGGTGCTTTCATCGCCGCTAAGGACCTGCCCTCGTTCTCCGTGGTCAGCTTGGGCCTCAAACACGCTCAAGACACCTTGGAGAACCCGGAGAATTGCAGTCATTGTCTTATGCTGCCCAAGAAGCTTTTACGACGCCGTCTCAAATTTGCCGCGACCCAGTGTGCCGAGCTCTGCCTATCTGACTCGGATGGGGGACACAGACGACAGCGCTATCTGGGGACTCCCGGGCACCACCTCACTTATTTGGACTGACCAGCACAATCCTGCTTTCCCCCAAGAGGACAACTTCACGCTCGTTGATGAACCGGCCAGCTCCGGTGACGAGGATGACACGGCCCTTCTAGGGGTCTCAGAGGACGAGGACGCCATCCTGCCCAGGAGGTTTGTGAGCAAGCGGCTGCTCGCCTGAACACTGAGTGGCCAGCTCAACTGAGCACCACTGACCAGGAGAGAGACATTTACGACGGGAAAGTTCTAGGACCCCTCACGGCCCCTCACTTTCAGCGTGTGTGTAGCACATGAAGAACAACAAGAGCGACCCACTCGACTTCAAACACATTCTCACGGGCCTTGAGGTTAAGGATATGGTGGACCTTGTCATGGGTGACCTTGTACTGGAGAATAGCAGCGCTTGCAGGCGTTATGTGCCCTCAGGTAGGGGGCGGGGCCTTACCTGGCATTGGCTGCGCGCTTCTGTCTGTCTAGCAAGACTTGTTGCTTTTGGATGCTTCTGCAGAGGTCATGCACGGATGCCCTTCTCATAGGTGGATCTCTCCACTCGATGTTTCTGAGAAATGGGGTTACGATAGTAACCTATTGTTTTAAAGTGACAGCACCCTAATATACATACTGCCAACTTATGAGATACGATTAAAAATATCTATATGATTTATAGTTTTCCCCCATAGTATCGATGTCAAAATTGTGGCCAGTAAAAATGCTGAGTGGCTAGTAACTTTGGAAAAAGGCTGGTTAATATAAAGTGGTTAATAAAAATTCATATAAAGTTAATATCAAGCCCTGATCACATACATATGTTTTTCAACAAAGTTTGTAATTAACTTTGCTAGCTAGCTGACAATGAAGACTTGGTAGATTTTAAAAAGCATCAGTTACAAATTAATAATGCCTTGTTATTCTTGGCTACAGAAAAAAATATATTTTCCTGATACATAAAAAGCCTTGTTGAGCCACTAAAATCCAGAAAGATGATCTCGAATATATAATGTCTATAAAGAGACACTGACTGTTGTTCTAGCAACCATCTGTTGAATTCCAGGTCCATAGACTATGATCAGAATTTAGCAGCTGGTGCAAGAAGTCCAGTGCTGGATACATGTCTGCATTTCAGATGTGTGCAAAGTTCATGTTCTGCATTAGTGTGACTTCATGAACTTATCATGGTGATGTTTTCCCTAATATTGCATAAGTGGGTACACATGCTTTAGTGGATTATCAGATAATTGATACTCAGAACCCAGCTGTATTTAACCATTTAACCAACAAGTGAATCTATGGAAAGTAACAATAGAAACAAAATGAAAGCTTCTAACATGAGCTCAAATCTGTACCTTGGGTTGGTGTCCCAGCATAGGAAAAAGCAAAGATGCACTTTAGAGATTTCTCCTCCAAACAATGGTGAGCAATACCCTGAAAGATCTGACAAAAAAAAAAGAAAAAAAATGCACAAGGAAATGTGTAACTCATTTTTTTAAACGTGCATCCATTTCAGTCCTCGTGTTAAACAAATTACCTTTTTGGTATCTTCCTCCTTGGTGAATGTTAGGCAGAACTGAAAGACGCGTAGATCTTTACAGTGAATTATTATTTTGGATGGGTATTTGTTCTTCACAAAGCTTCCCGTTATCAGTTTCCTTTTTTCATCATAAACTTTAAAAGAAATGAAATGTTTTTCAGAACTCAAACATTCAAATAAAAATTTTCCCTTCAAAACATGAACAGCTCTATAATTATTAATGATAAATGTAAAAACGATTATTACCACCATAGATGTGATCCACACACGTTAATGGAATGTCATTTTCTCCATAGAGTTTGTTCTGAAAGGTCTTGGACTGGAACAAAGGAGAGTGACATGACAGCCTCTTATTGAACTTACACAATGCAGACAATACCAAAGTAAATAATGCTTGCAAAAGACAGTGCTTAACTAATGCTCAGTCAGCTGTGAAAGCTGCATTTTTATACAGAACACAGTAACTAACAGGAATGCGGTTGCCTTGTTAAGTGTGCTGCATCAAACTTTCACACAATATTTAATCATTTCCTGCTTAGCCACCTCCAAATAGAAATCTAGCCAATGAAACCTCTTGATACCAACCAACACTAACATCTGGCCAATAGCTTTCAGCAGCATTGTTTTGCAGCTTTTTTGATTACTGATTAGATTAGTTATGTCTGCATATCGATGTTGGTCAACATGCAAAAAAAAAAAAAAAAACGAACTGAAAACAAAAATACCTGGCACAACATGAATATCTGACCATTTGAACCTGCTGTAAGGCACTGGTTTCCCACCAGAATTTCACTGCCAGTGAGTCAGACACTCAAGTTCCTGAAATGGCAGCTAAAGTGAGAGCACTCACAGCACAGTTCCTCATGCAAGGTCACCAAGCATGCTCTTAAGACACCCAATGTTTCAACAAAGTGTGATTCACACTTTTTCTGTTTACTTGTTTAGCAGCTGCTTTTATCAAAACCTGACTTATAAATGAGGAAAAAGTATTTATCATACAGGTGCCAACAATATAAGCCAGTCCGCAGTGATTATTCTATTTTGGCTATAAAGCTTTTGAAGCAACAGAATCTTCCTGTACACTGAACCTAAATAGTAGATTTGTAGAGAGATTGGGTAAATGACAATCTTTCGGATGCACTTGAAATTGTTTTGGAATAGTATGGTATGGCAGTCAATTTAATTAATTTAGAGTCAATTTAACACAATTATTAAAAAACACTTTTATTAACAGATTTAGCCATGCCTTCTGACCTGTCTGCTACTCCTCACCTAACCTTATCTGCATAGACTTTTCATAAAAATATTGAATTGATAAACACCTCTAAAAAATAGCATCCATTTCATAAAGATTACCATTTTATAAACATCTAGATCACGTGTTCTATTCTCTTCAAACCACACTATGTACAAGAATGCTACAGTACATACAGGAAGTACATGATATTTTTTTTTAAAAGCACTGTGGTTATATGTTCGGTAAGCCTGAATTAGAAATGTAACATTGTTGCTTATGTGATAGCATTTTGCTATTTACTTAGTAGATGTGAATTAGCATTGCATTAGGCCTCTTTTTTTCTAAATATACATGTTGAATATTTTGGTAACACTTTAGAATAAGGGTAATTAGATAACATTAAGGTTAACTAATGTTAAGTACTAACATTTACTAAGAATGAACAATACTTCTACAGCATTTATTAATCTAAGTTAAAGCTGCAGTCCATAGCTTTTTTGAGGTTAAAAATTATCCAAAATACAGTACATATTGTAAAATGCAGAGTGAGACTTCGTTCAGACTTCGGAATGGCTACAGAAAAAAAGAGACTGCATGGGCCCATGCGAAAACAAGGATACATATCGGAAGGATATTACATGTAGTCAAGCAATGCTTACGTTGTTCACATTAACAATTCTGAATGACAGTATCCACACCGGCATGGCGACTGACAGCCTCACACTCTCCTCAAACATTGTGTTCATCTGCGCTGTGCCGTGTCGAGGGTGTTGAAGTACAACTCAAAAAAGTAAAGTTGATAATTCCGCAAATGACTGCAATTGCAGATTTTGAACAGAGATGGCGACAAAAAGGAAAAACGCCGGACTGCAGCTTTAATATTATACCGTCAACATTTACAAATGCATTATTAAAATCAAAGGTTGTATTTGTTAACATTAGTTAATGCACTGTGAGCTAACATGAACAAACAATGAACAGCTGTATATGAATTAACTAATATTAACAAAGATTAATAAATACTGTAACACTTGCATTGATCATTATTAGTTTGTGTTAGTTAATATATTAACTAATGTTAATTAATGAACCTTATTGTAAAGTGTTACCAATGTTTTTATATACTATGAACAGGAAAACTCACGTCAATTCGTAACTATTTTACTTTGTGCTGAATTCACTCATTGATCTCATTCGTATATTTTTAATATGATTTGTTAATAACCCACATAGGGTTATGTTTAAGGGTGGGCATACATGCTTTTTTTTTCTAAAAATCTACAAATAAAATTTTAAATGAAATTGCCATCCGTGAAACAGTAAAACTTTGTCATGAAATCAGGTCTTGTTTTTACAGCCCTGACACGTGTTCTTACCGTCTCTTCCTGTGTCAGTTCATCACTTAAGAACGTAACACGAAAATTGGTGCAAAACAACGTGCCAAAGACGCCACGCTGGGAGAGGTCATCTTGAGTGTATTTGAGAATAGGGTTGGCGCTACAGAACACCACTTCACCTAAGATGCAACAGATCAGCAAAGTCATGTCACATAAGCCCTGTTCAGACTGTCAGTCCAAATCCAATTAATAAATAAATAAATAAATAAATAAAAATCAATATAGATAAAACGTTTTTAAAAAGATACAATTAGTATGGTAAAACAACAACAACAACAGACTGTTTAAAGTGAACAAATATAATTTATAGATGTAAACCATTTAGGAAGTATTTAATAGTAGTAGTAAGTAGTCTTGTGGTACGAGAGTAAATTGTCCTGTATCTCCTACCCGGAGGTAGGTAGTGTGTCTATGCAGGGTGATCGGATCTGACCATTTTTTGAAGTTCTGCTCTGACATCTGGACAAATAAATGTCATTTTGGTCAAATAGTTGCAGAGCCCCTTGTTCCTCTCTTATCCACCTTTTTCTGACTGGACGGTTTTCTACTTCCTGCTGTCCTTTTTTCACTAATTGTATCTTAATTTCAATCAATGTTTCATCAACCAATTTGCCTGGTTTTAATAAATAAGAAGTATACAGTGGTATGAATAAGTTTTGGCACCCATGCTAAAGTTGCCTAAAAAGAGGAATAAAAAAAATCATCTTTTGGATATTAATTTAATTTTATTGGCATGGGGTACTTTCCATAAGATCATCTTTCAATGCAAATCAAACCAGCTATTAGGCTAACTGAAGTAAAACCATGCCAATCTCTAGGTGTGGTGGAAGGTGTGTGATGATGTGGGGATGTATTTTAATTCCAAAGGCCAAGGGAACTTTATCAGGATGCATATTATCCTGGATCCATGAAATAACTGGCTTTTAAAAATAAAAATCTGCCTGACTCTATGGGAATTTAACATAGGGGTGCCCAGACTTATGCACCCTGTATTTTAAGGAAAAACATTTATTTATTTATGATACATTATTCATTCACAAAGAAAATTTGTCCTTAAAGGTTGGAGTTTTCCTCATTTTTCTAATTAAGGCATTAAGATCAATATCCAAAAGATGATTTTTTTATTCCTCTTTATAGGCAACTTTAGCATGGGTGCCAAAACTTATTCATACCACTGTATAATAAACAGATGATCATGACGGAGGCGACAGCGCGCAAACTGGACTTTGGTCTCATGAATGAAACTCGGCGTAACGTTAACGTTATTATGCCTAACCTCACAGGCCTGAGTGAGAAATATAGAGTCTATACATCTTTGAAAGTAGAGGTAGCAGGAGTCAAGGGATAACCAGCCTAACCTTTTAGAACTGTTATTCTGCAGCAGTAGGGGTGATAGAGACTGTCGGATGTTTGCTGGAGATCGTGCAGTCATTCATCAGCAAAGAAAAACGTTCATTTTGTTTTTATCTGTGATTTAATAAAAAATAACGTGATCAGATCACATTTGATGAATGTTTTTTTTTTCGATTTAGTTTCGCGATGTGGGGATGACACAATCTAAAACACATGGCATAGACCAGACTCGAACCGGAAGTTGACTACCGGCATCGTCGTCATGGCAGCGCGCATTGTTTAGAGCAGAAAAAGGTGGATACAACTACCGTACCAAGATGTGATGCAATATGTTAGTACACTCTCCACTGCACATCGATAAAAGTTCAAAAGAAGTTTCTAAGGCAATCTGCTCAGAAAATAAAGATGTTGTTGTGCTTTTCAAATGACAGTGGAGGTGTGTGTAGTCCAAGAAAAATCATCTGTAATGTTGAACCCCAAGAATTTAAAACAGGGTACTCTCTCCACAACCACTCCATTTATGAACACAGGACAAGTAGTCCAGCGCTGCAGCTACACATTGTCATATTCTAAATCTAAAACACATATAATTGTTGTTTTTTTAGGCATAGTCCTTCTAAAGCAATCATCATTGTGATGAAAGAGATCCACAAGACACAAATCAGATCTGAACAGTTACGATGCACAGTGTCGACAGTCAATCATTTAGATCTGATTTTAGTCGTGTACACAAATAGGCCTAGTCGGATTTGGACAGACAGTGTGAATAAACAAGGCTTTAAACACAATAATACATTGTCAGACATAAACACAATGCAAATTATAGTCTTTTTTTGTGGTGTGCAGAGCTTTGAAGAAATGCTTAAAACATTGTTTTAAAACATTACCTATTTTTCTGTATCTGCAAAGCTTACACTAAATGAGATCTCTGGAAGTTACAGTCTGGATTAAAGAACAATTATAAATCTGAAATGAAAATTACACCCAGTGTATCAACTATGTACCAATTTTTCTTTAGATTAACTGACAATAATACAAAGAAAAGCTTGAGATAGCAGAACATTGTGTGAGGGATTACATTTTTTTTTTTTACCTGGAAGCAAATCAGGATGCTTCTCCTTCTTTGGCAAGTATTTCTCCAATTTTATTTCCTAAAGAAAACAGGAGCAGTACAATTATATAACTGTAAACTTGATTGACTAAACATCTTAATAAATTAAATTTTCACAGGTACCATATTGCAATATGATGCCAAACAAATCAAGTCACATTTCACACAGTGCCAGATGCTAAGTAAGTGAATAAATCGACAGGACATCTGCCCTGTAAAAACTAAAACTGCTGCAAGCATAATATAGTATACGAATATAAGTAGGTATGAGAAACATGCACTGTCATACATTACATTAAATGGATAGTTTACAAAATAAATAAATAAATAAATACATTCTCTCATCATTTGCATGGCCTTTCATTGTTTCAAACCTGTATGTTGAATAATGTTGTAACCAAACTGTTTTGGTGACATGACAAACTAAATAAATAAATATATAAACACAGTGACATTTCTCAAAATATCTTCTTTTATAAAATTTCCACTGTAACTCATGTTTACATATGAAATGAGGTCTGGCTATATAATGTAATGCAACTAGAGATTTTTCAGGGCTTCAGGGCTTTTGTTGTATCTCAAATCAGCCCATGAATGCAGAGTTGCCGAGACTCAGCGTTCATGTAGTTCATAAAGGATTTTCCTCTTTCTTCTAGAAAATTTGATGTTTTTTTTTTAACTTAAAGTACGGACTACTTATATATGCCTGCAGCCAGCTTTAAAATTTAAATGAGGTAAAATCCCTTGGTTAGAAGATATAAAAGTGGCTGAAGATAACTGCAAAATCAAAAAACTAATGCCAGACTGCTAGTGTGCGAATAATAAATTGTACAAGTTCAGTCAAAACAAAAAGGATAAATAAAGGAAAGGAAGCCATCAAACATCCTGCTACCATGAAGCCAGCTGAAAACCTCAATGGGTAAAACTTCACAAACAGTCCCAAGCATCTGGGTCACTCCTTTTCCTAATGACTTCATCAGGGTGAAAATATTATCCTAAAATTAGCTTTTAAAACCTGAGATGGTAAATACACACGGTCTTTCCATTTCAAATGTTGCATGACAAAAATAGTGGGTCTTCATTAATATCCAGCCAGTATCCAGCCAATAAGTCCCAATTTCTGATCATCAGAAAGAGAATTAGTTGAACCTCACATAGGTCAGGGGGGTCAATAAATCCACTCAGAGCTAAATTTTAAGGGAATCAAAATGGTGTAATTTTAGTCTTATTCCTAAACTTAAGAAAAAATGTGTTTAGAGAGGAGGAGCCAACACACTTTATGAAAAAGATATAATGTATTGAAGTTAGGCTATATTCAGGAAGTTGATAAAACGATACAAGCTTGATAGTCAAGATATTCACTTTGTAACAGAGTAAGAAATTGAAGAACTTCTCAATTCAATGCTCTAACTGCAGAAATCAAAGTATTAATGACATCTTTTGGTAACTGGACAAATGGGCTCATCGGTCCACACAGTAAGCAGAAAATAGCACTATTTGTGGCACTAACCATACCAAACATTCAGTAGTGGCCAAAAGTGATGTCTGGAGGGGATATTTCTTTTTAATGACCCTACAAGTTCAATTAATCAATCAAAATGTTAGTAAAAATTTGTTTTTTTTTTATCATTAAGGAAGAACAAAACACTATACTTGGTCAAGGTATTTATCTGACTATGTAAAAAATAAAAAATATAAATGGAATTTAACAGTGGCTGAAACTGTCGTTCTGGCTGAAGCGACAACATTTACATATGGCAGATGCTTTTTATCCAAAGTGACTTCCATTGCCTTCAAGGTACACATTTAATCAGTTCAGGTATTCCCTTACATTTGAACCCATGACCTTGGCGTTGCAAGCACCACACTGTAGTTTGAGCTACACAAAATCTTATCATATTGTGCTCTAAAGAACAGAGAAAGACATACAGGGTCCGGACAACATAAGTAAATAATGACTTTAATGAAATAATTAACGAGCTTTTATTTTTGAGTAAACTATCCTAATCCACTAACTTACACCTTTACTGAATTGTTTTATAGTAATGTTTTCATTTACTAATCTCTCTTACAATGGGATGAAAAACATTGATAAACTAAGGGGTTTAGGCTACCTTATTTCTATAAGGAGTACAACAATTCTTACCATCATGCTTTCACTAATGAACAACAAGAACTAAGTTATTGTTCCTCAAGACAAAGCTCATGACATCGGTTATAAAAAGACGTTATGCTCTTTCTCTCTCGAGTGCGCGCGCGCACACACACACACACACACATAACGTTATCATCGCACTGCAATTTTATGAAACCATAACCAAGAAAGGACTTCAAACACAATCACATGTCAAAGGCAAGTGAAGACACTCGGGAGTCGTGTCAATAAACATCGTTTATTGCATTACTATCTCTAAACAGACTGAAATGTAAAGTTGAGGACTTTTTTGGTAAACTTTTTAAAAAGTCAACAAAACTCAATTTTAGGCGTCAGTGCGAAGGGAGTCAACTTAGAAATGTAATTTAACTGAATGAAAATTTGTTGTTGATCGTTTAAGTTAATGCATTTCTCCAAATGAACAAAAAACGTACACAAAAAAATAGATTTCCGTTAGTGTAGCTAAACTAGAACAAGTCAGCATTGTCAATTTCTAGTTTTAGACAAATTCAGTATCTCCGGCTTGTTTTGAAATCAACGTAGCTACCCTAAGTGTATTACTACTTTGAAAGCTTACCTCGGGTGTAACATAAGACACAAACGACGGTTTAGAAGACTTCGCTCCTCCGCTCCCCAAACTCAACATTGTGCCACAGTATCCCGCTTCCCGAGCAGTCAGGTGGAAATCCGGGAGAATGCGAACACAACTTTCCTCCCTCTCTCTTTGCACAAGCAAGCCGCGGATTTCCTTTGGTTGGAGTGGAAAACAAACCTGCTCTGACAGCTAACCGCGCCCATTCGACGGCATTGGTTCTTTATGGACAAACGGTCCATTTTTTACTCCGGTCAAGAACAAGTCGCTTTTTGCTCATTGGATGAAATGGCTGTCAATCTTATAGGCTTCCTCGTTGCTGAACAAATACGCAGTCGTATTCAAAATAGCCTACGCCCTGAAGTTAGAGGTTTATGATTCCACATCTTTCATGTTTTTTTTGGCTTCGTGTTTGCATATCTAGTGTTTTTTTCTCATTTTCACTCAATTCATCAGAACACAGACTAAAGTAGTTCCTCATTAGCATAAATAACAGGAGAAGATAACAAAGCACCTGTGAGGCAATCAAGAATACAAAAAAAAAATCTAGATTTGAATCCTTTAATTTGTGAGTTACACATCGAAGCAAATTAAACTAAAGACATACCAAACTAAAACTTCAGGTTGAAGACGACTTTACATGTATTTTGGTTATATTTAGTTTCAGAAATGTCTTTATTATAAGCATTTTAGTAGTACCTTGACAGTGAATGACAAGCATCAAAGGTTAAGTCTACAACAATCTGCAGTTACAACACAGATATTTCACTTTTGTTCCTCCCATCAAACTCAAACCAGAAATTAAAATTAACAGCAAGCAACTACACATCTATAAACCAATAAAACAAAATTAATAAAAAACAAAAACAACATTCCTGTGCTTTAAAACCATACGGGCATTTGTTTTGAAGATCTACTGCAAGATTAGATACAGGCTTCTTAAATGATCATATATTAGAGATCATACAGTTATATGATCACATTTACAGATACATTTAGGGTTAACAATATGAACACAACACAGGCAGACCTGGGGCAATTACGAGATCCATAGGAAAACAAACAAAGACGACTTTGACCTTAAAACCACTACAAATGATCAGCGTTTGAATACTTTGAGAATAACTCCTCTGAAATGAGCTTGCAACTCAAGTTTCCTTAAATTTACAGTTGGTAGATACTTCTGGTATTTGGCCCAGGTCTGATTTCAACGGTTGGTGTCTTGAGAAATGTGAGAGCTACACCACAGAGGCACAGCTACCAGCAAACTTACAGCCTAACTTTGGGACAAGTGCAGCTTTACATCACTTGCAAGCATATAGAAGGAATGAAGTCCTAAATAGGGTTCAAGGATATTGGTTAGCCAATGACAAATTTACAAATGGTTAAAAGCCAACCCATCCTTCAGAATGCACTAGCAATGGAAAATACATGCTTGTATAAATCCACGTCCAGTCAAAGTTATCACATTCATCACAACAGGACGAACCAGTTGCATAATCAACCATCTTATCTTTGATCTTGCATTTTGAAGAGGAATGTCTCTAAACAAAATAAATTATGAAAACACCTAAACAATTTATTGCAATGCCAAGGAAGCCATTGTCAAAGTTACTTTACATGTGTAACTGGAAGGATAAGATGGACTTTAAAGAATCGGCTCCACAGGGACATAAGTGCGCAGCTCAAACTTCTAGAAATATGGGGAAAGACTACATCCAATTTGCTAAAATTATCATGAACTTAGGCTCAACTTCTCTAGATTGTACGCATCTCCAATCTTTAAACCAAGACACCAGACTAAACAACAGAGATGGGCTAGAGTCTGTGTAAAGGAAATAAAGGCCAAAATCAGGTCTTTACTAGTTCTTAAAAATATATAATCAGCATGCACAGAGATCAACAGAAATGGCATTTGTATACCAGGAATAAACTATTTGAAACAGGGGCAGGGTGAACAGGGCTAGTTGTACTGTAGTGCACTTCAGAACCCCTCGTGGTCCTTCTTGTCCTTCTTGCCTTCTGCTTCAAATCCATCAGTGCCATCACTGTTATCGCGACGCCTCTTGCGGTTATTTCGTACGTTGAAGCGCGAGTTCATCTGAGGCAGGGGGTCCATTCCCAGAACCTTGTGAATCTGACGGAACGCCAGCAGCCTCAAGGCAAACTGTGGAGAAAGGGCTCGGGTCAATAAATTCAATGTACCTCGATTAATACGGGACCATAACCGCATGCAAAATTATACAATAATTGTCAAAATACATTTAAATATTTTTAATGGAGTCAATGCATGACAAAAAAAAAAAATATATATTCTACAAAGCAGTTACTGTGTACTCCACCTGAGCGCTTGACGTGATGTCCTCTCTCTGCTGCTCTTCCATGCTAGCCAGTGTATCCGTTGGATTTTTCTCACAGGGGTCCATCAATCCTGGAGCACCTACATCACAAGGAAAAGGATAAGATAAAGAGCATGTTAAATTAAGCAACTAATTTCTCAAGTTGAACTTATGCAACAATGACTAAGTTGCCAATAAATTAATGCATCCAACATTTTCATTTTATGCTCTAGAAAAAAAAAAAAAAAACTGATTGCATAATTACTGCAAATTACTTGCATTTTCTGACTTATCAACAAAAGCTACAGATATTACCAGAGGGCCTTCTTACCAGACAGCAGAATGCCTGAGGAAATACATTCAAAGACTCGTCGCAGAGAATCTCCAGGGCTCATTGGTCCAGAGGCACTGCTGATGGCCTTCTCCACCAGCAACTCCATAGCCTTGGAAAAGTCAACAGTCACTTAATAGAATCCACAATATCAAACACTTTCTCTTAAAAAAAAAAAGGCACATTAAGCATCAGTTTACTCAATTTTATCATCCTGCAATCTTCCTCTTACAAGTAGGACTAAAAAAAAAGCAGCATTATGCTTTTACAACCTCTATTAGCAGGGGTGGTGAACATCAGTCCTGGAGAGCCAGTCCCGCAGAGTTTTGCTCCAACCCTGATAAAAGCTCACCTGCCTGTAGTATTCTAGCAACCCTTCAGACCTTGATTAGCTTGTTTAGGTGTGTTTGATTAGGGATGAATCAAACTCAGCAGGACTGTGGCTCTAGAGACCATTTTGCAAGATGTAAACACTTTTCCAGAAACACTTCCTGTTACAGTTTGTAAAAGGTTTCTTTATTTCAAATGTAAAGAAAATATCTTAAAGATGTTCAACTTCTTGATTCAGTTGTACATGTTCTGTTGGTTTTATACCAACGTTTATGTGGTGATAAACTGAAATAGGAAGTGCTTCTAGACCAGTGTTTACATCTCGCAAAATGGTCTATAGGAACAGTCTTAGGGATGCTAAATTACGCAACAAAGCTACACCGACAGTATGAAGGAAGGAATGAAATGGGGGAGAAACAAACTTCAGGGTTCTGGGTTGATATTAGAAAAATCCTGAGCTTTTAATTTTTTTTCCTGGGACAGATGCGCAAGGGCCAGTTTATCCTCTGCTAATTTCTGACAAAATGACGAGTGGATGAACGATGGTTCTTCTAGTCTTATATTGTTGTCTTATTTTTTTGAGAATGCAAGACACACACACACACACAAACACATGCATATCTTCATAATTCTAGTTTTGACCCAAATCCCACTTGAACTGTAAAGCCCGGAACACACCAAGCCGACGCCGACGAACTAGCGCTGATGAAATCCGACTGTGTTGTCGCCTCTCGTCGGGGTAAAAAGCTGCACTTGAACACACCGAGAGAACTGCAGGCGACTGTCAGCTATAATGTGCGTTCTGCGCCTGCACGTAATGAGCCAACTGTCTATTTCTGCACATATATTAGTCTATATTCTTCATTCAAAAAGGAAAACCGACGCTGCCGGCTGCAGATACACATAACGTAAACAAAGCAGCCAGTGCTTACCTTTTTGAACATCAATCCTGCTAAACATTTTCTTTATTCCACTCTGCTCATGTTAATATTGAAATATTCGCCAAGGAACACTCGGGTAAGATGATGTAAGATAAGAACAACCTTCTAACTTTACCGTTTTGACTTCTTTGCTTGCTGTTTTGCTTTTATTATTGTGCACTGACTGTTTCACTAAGCTGAACAGCCAATCAGAGTTCTCGCTTTCCCGACACCGATTCAACATGTCAAATCGGGCGAAACAAAGCCGACAAGGACCATTTTCAGCCGACGGCACGGAATCGTGCTGTGCGGAACACACCAAAGAAACTTTGTCGGCTGACGCACAAACACCGCCCAACGACCGACTGTCTGCTAGGGGTGTTCCGGGCTCAATATATTTTTTTCATGATATTCTGAGATCAAAATACGTACAGGTTGGCAGGTCTGCGATTGGCTGAAGTAAAGTAACTGGTGTGGTTTAGTGAAAGTGCCTCTGCGAACGCGAATCTGATTTTTTTTCCCCGCAGACATGTCTGTAAGCCGGAAACCCAGCATGGCACTGGAGCATGTTGGTTGTAGGAAAGGCCCCATACTACATAAGATACATTAGCTTTTCAGTAATGCATCATCAGTAATGTAGACAGGAACCATCCTTGCATCTTCTCAAGTCAACTGCAGATCTATGCATTGTGTTAATGTCAACAGCAACTTAGTATTGGGATATGCTATGCCAATTACTGGAAAAACTACACAATTTTAAAAGCAGTTTTAAAGTGTGGCCACATTTGATATTAAAAAGGTCTCCTGACATGAATTTTCACTTTCTGAGGTTTAACATTAATAGTTAAGCTCCCCTAGCCTGAATATGGTCCCCCAGTGGCTAGAAATTTAAATTGTAAACCGAGCTTTTGCTATCTTTCTCTGGCATTGAGTAAATGAAAGCTCAGACAGGCTGATCTTGAATCTCTCCTGTATGACATCATACGGAAGAAAGATAAACTCCTCTTTCTCTGCCCAGAGATTTTGGCTCAATCGCCCATGAGAAAATGAGCTAGGAAGTACGAACTCAAGTTTTTCCTCGAGACATCATGGCTTGCAAACGAGCAAAGCATGGCAGTTGATCGGTGCTTGGATGAGGTGAGCGTTCTGGCGCACTATGGCAGCCGTCGCATCATCCAGGTGGATGCTGCACACTGGTGGTGGTTGAGGAGACTCCCCCCTCTATGTAAAGTGCTTTGAGTGCAGAGAAAAGCACTATATAAATGTAATGAGTTATTATTATTATTTGTGTCTTTACTCACCCAGCTAGGAAAGGCAGACCAGGTGGGTACTCGCTGACACAGGTCACGCAGTATTCGAATGACAATGACACACGACTGGAGCCCATTAGCCCTAGCCTTCAGTGCAGTGAAGTGAACTTAAGATTAGTTAATGCACAAGAGTAAAGACATACAACATGTCAGAGTTCAGAGAGGTGCAACACTACTGTTCACAATGGAAGCTTTTAACTGGTTTAAAAACAGCTGGACCAATTGACTTTTTTTTTTAAAGCTTCCATTCCCAGCAGTATTTTACCTCACCATTAGTACAAGAGTTCAAAGTTTGCAAGATTCACTTGGAATGACTCCTTGGTAATCTTGTAAACCTTGACCTCAATTGTCAAATACTTCACAAACATATACTTTCATTTTACAAAAGATCAGTTTGCAAGAGTGTTGCATAGGAACTGAAGCAGACAAGGAAATCTGCTTTACTTTGCCTGTGTATTTGCGGAGATGGCAACAACACAGTAAACTAATCAGATATTCCTTTTCTCTCAATCCCTATTCCCAAGAAAGAAAAAAAAAGAAAAAAAAAAAGAAAATAAAATGAAATCACAAAAAAACAAAAGCTCTTATCGATGACACTTTATGCAAAGGTATTCTGCAGCCTTATGGAATCATTTCACATGCCAAGTAGTATTTAATATAAGACTAATGAATAAAATGACATGTATGCAAGGATGCAATTTGTTAGGATCAAATCAGCTCATTTACAAAAACAAAAATGGAAAAGATAGTATAATCACCCAATTTTATACTGCATCCTTGCATCACTCCCCCTCCACCCCCCACAAAAATCAGCTTTGAGGTTTAAAATTTAAAAACAAAAGACTAACCAACTTAAATGAACAAATAAAAAAGGAATACATCTCATAAGGCTACAAGAAGAAAGTAAAATGATGTTCCGAACCTGGAACCACTTAGCGTGGCGTAGGGCAGCCAGAGCGTCAAGGCATTTTTGCCTGTCCAAGACGTCCGCTGGGTCTTTCACCATACTCGAGGTTACATCTAAAAATGGATCGAATTGTCAAATGGTGGTGAGGAATGGGTGTTTGACCAGGTCAGAGAGACTGCCAAGAACACATTGCCACACATACCAGTCTGTTCCTGATCACATATTTTTCAAAATGTAAAAAACCTGTTTATGTATTACACAGTTCACCCCATATGCAAAATCTTTCAGATCTTTTCAACAACATTATGGATCAGCTACACTTGCCATTGGGTGCACTTCTATTTAGTCTGATGTGGTGCTGAAAGAAACAGGATAGGGACAGATTAATCCTGAATTCACAAGTTGTTGTTTTTCCTTTTTCACGGGGGGCACTAGAGAATGTGGCATAGTGATATTGGATTTCACAATTAGAATAGGAAATGCGCTCATGATTTTTTGGTACTTTGCATATAGTGAGCTTGACGCCTATAATTAATGGCAATATAAACATCTCTTGATAAAGACCATATCAGTTATGGCTTGTCAAATCAATGCTCTGCAAACCTCCATTTGAAACTAATGGGAATGACAATGCATGAGTTTCAAATGCTAAAATATAGTGAACTAGTCTAA